GGGTTCCAGCTGCACATGGTTATTATCAAATTCACCCTTGGGATGCTCACAGAAGCCTTTGCTTTTGGGAATCCACTTGAATATTGCATCGTGAATGTCTGTGGATCCGAGCCGAAGGTTCGCAGGATCAGCAAGAGTTGTGAAATAAAAGCCCCATTTTGTGGCTAGGAGTTCAAGCAACAGCCGAGTCTTTCCACTTCCAGATGTGTTAATTATCATTCTGGATAGGATGTGACAACATGTGTAAGATGAACATTAGGATCAAGTAGAAGAGACGTACTTTGACAACCCATCTCCCAATTGTGAGATGATTTTTGTGTCAACGACGCCATCCCCTAAATTGTGGAGAAGCAATGCAGGAAACCCTTCCACCTGAGGAATTTCAAGTTCTTCGATGAATCGAGCGTATTCGGGGCTAGCACCCTGCGGGGCTTGCCATGTGTCCCGCCACGGTGCACTCTTGAGATGCTCGCGAAGTCGACCCTCCAGATTTTTCAAGAACTCATTGACCACGCCCGTCATTTCACTGTCATCTCTGTGGGCTTTTGCAGAAGATGGCACCTCAGCTGTACATACAGATTAGTCAAACTTGCGAGGAACCGGCCAAATCTTGTGGACGGGCAGAGAACAAAATACGTACTTGAACCAACCACAGCAATAATATCTATCATATTCTCATGCTCTGGGGTAGGTCCATCAGGGAAATACTCGTTCAGACGGTCTCCAAAGTCCATCCTCGCAGGCTTTGGAGGTGTGCGAATACAAGCGACAGTACGATCATGAAGTGTTTCAGGTGGCTTCCTGTTCAGATTGTCAGGCTGCACATTGATCATCAGCATAATGACAGAATAGGAGACGTCAGAGAAAGACCTCGTATAGCGTTAGTGTCGAGTGCTTCAGGGCACCTTTGTAGCACGGATGGTCATGAATTTTTCGCCATAAAGCATCAACATCTGCATCCCCCGGCATGACAAAAGGACAGGCTTCGGCATTGTCATTGTTTAGCAGGCAGATCATGTAACGGCGATTATTTAGACTTGAGGAGGACATGGCGGATGATAGTGGATGATGGTGGATGATGGTGGATGAGAGACGATATGCTGGCACTCGACAGCATCATTGAGGCCTGCACATGGGGCATTTCACAATTCCTTACCTTAAAAAATAACTTACATAATGATAAACATTATTTGAAATTTATTTTCCCATTTTTGACCAGCAAAAATTATAAACAAAATTTAAAACTTTCTTTATACAAAAACTAGAAATTATTGTTAACATTTCTTCATTTGTGAAATCTTAAAATAAATAGAGATAATAATCTAAAACATAATTTCTAATTTTGTTTTGAAATTATGTTTTAGATTATTATTTCCATTTATTTAAAGATATTACAAATAGATAAATATTAAAAATAATTTATAGTTTTTGTCTTAAGAAAATTACAAATTTTGTTTATAATTTTTGCTAGTCAAAAATGGGAAAATAAAGTTCAAATAATGTTTATCATTATGTAAGTTATTTTTTAAGGTAAGGAACTCATATTTTGCTAGGAGGGTAAGAGGTACATACTTTACATACCTAGAATTCTAATATATAACAGAAACACTAGGGAAATTATAATAAAGTATACATATTCTATTTTAGCACACTTAGAACCTTGAAAGACACTTTTGTACCTTAGAGAACAAGTTTGGTAGAAGAATATAATTATAAACATTAATTCCTACTATAATTTGTGTTATACATATTGTTAGTAACAGTGTAGAGAGGACCTAAAGGCTTAGTAAGAGGATCTAGGTTACAACTATCCTACACAACAGAAATACAGAATGTGAGTACTAGAACATAGTTAGAACTTATAGAACAGACAGAGAGAGTAAGACAAGAGTAGAGTATATAGAGTAAGTCTAAGAGTATAGAACTATCTAGAGTAAATAAGATTAAGACTATACAACTAGTCTAATCTTATACACTTATATATACTAAACTATATAAGAGTACTTAGAGAGTATGAGCTACTAAGAATAATAAGCTATAAAGGATGAAAGAAAGAAAGGTTAAAGATAAAGGTATAAAGAATAAAGGGATAGATAAAAAGTAAGAGACTATAGAATGAACAAAGAATAAAGGGGTAGTTAAAGGAACAGAATAATAAAGTAAGGAGGGGTAGTAGTAAGAGTTAGTACACATATAGTTTATAAACAGTACTCTTAAGAGACAGAAGTTTTAAGTTCTAATACAGAAGAGTGTAAAACCTTTAGAACTAAAGGTATAAGAGTAGAGAATTATAATATTACCCTCTCTCTAAAATCAATTGTTCTAATTAGTAAACATTAGACTTAGTTAGTAACTTAGACATAAGTTAGAACAGTAGGGTTTGGAAATCTGTAAGGTAGAGTTAATATAGAGCACCTAGATAAAGTTGATAAAAGTCTTAGATTACCTTAGTAGTATAAGTAAGATTCTTAGTAGGTTTCTAAGTGTGTTCTTTAACTAAGTATTCTTTCTAGTAAATAAGGAACTTAAGCTTTCTATATACTAGCTTAGTATTTACTATATACTCTACTTTGTATTCTAGTTCAGAACTGATGAGTTCTAGTAAAGATAGTAAGGGTCTTTATTGTAAAGGAAAACCTAGATTATAGTACTAAGATAATAGAACCTTGTTAAACACTAAGTGTATGTACTTTTATATTACTAAAAGTTAGAGTTTGTAAACAGAGGTACTAACCTTCTTTTTAATAACAAAGGGTTTAAAGTACTTATTGTCCAACTTCTTTATTAGGTAATTTATAGTCAGATTAATAGCTTTTAGTATAACTTTGTTACTAGACTAGTAATCCTTAACTACAGATCTCTTCTAATTATAGTTCTACTTTATAACTTATACTACCTTTTTTAAAAGAGTTTGTGTATCTTCTCTAGTCTTATATATTTATTCTACAAAGTCTGTTATAGATTTAGAACTACTGTTCTAGTTTAGAACTGTCTTCTAATACAAATGTCTCTTATAATTGAGGAAGAATAGAGACTGTTCTATTATAGAGTGTTACTAGTTATTATATACAAATTCTGTCAGAGCTAACTATTCAGACTAATCTGATTACTAATAATTAATAAACATTTAAAGATAGAGCTTAATCTTCTAATTAACTTATTTAGTTTAACTATTAGTCTGTAAGTAATATATAGTAGAAGGGTTCCCTTAAATTCTAAGAAGTATATACAAGTCTTATATGAATTTTGACTTAAATTGTAGTCTATAATTATAAATAAGCTTCTAAGAGAGTCTATATAACTAGAAGACATAATTCTAAAAAATGTGTACTATACTTTTAAAAGTAAGTTTTATTTAGGTTAAAACTGTATAAACTTACTTAAAGAATTAGTTAACAATTATACAGATAGTGTTATAACTCTAAAACTTAAGTAGCTTACTAATTAAGTTTACTAAGACTTCTTCTTAAGAGTAATCTAGAATCTAATACAAATGTAAAGGAGTCTAAACTCTTGTCTAGTAAGTCTTAGTCTGTTAGTACATATTGTAACTAGTTACATACTTTAGAATTTCCCTCTACATTTCTAACTACTAATAGTTCTAAGTAATAAGTTCTTATGTTTTGTGTTAGTCTAAATGTTCTATATGTTATAGTTATCTACTCTCATACCTTCAGTTCTGAGGGTTCTACACTCTTCTGTACCAGAACTCAGAACTTCTGTCTCTTAAGAGTACTGTTTATAAACTATATGTGTACTAACTCTTACTACTACCCTTCCTTACTTTATCATTCTATTCCTTTGACCACCCCTTCATTCTTTGTTCATTCTATAGTCTCTTACCCTTTGTCTATCCTTTTATTCTTTATACCTTTATCTTTAACATTCCTTTCTTTCATTCTTCATAGTTTATTATTCTTAGTGGCTCATACTCCCTGAGTACTCTTGTGTAGTTTAGTATATATAAGTGTACAAGATCAGACTAGTCCTATAGTCTTGATCTTGTCTACTCTAGGTAGTCCTATACTCTTAGACTCACTCTATATACTCTACTCTTGTCTCACTCTCTCTCTCTGTCTGTTCTACAAGTTCTGACTATGTTCTAGTGTTTATATTCTGTATTTCTGTTGTGTAGGATAGTTGTAGCCTGAGTCCTCTTACTAAGCCTTTAGGTCCCCTCTACACTGTTACTAACATTAGATTAAGACTCCCTATTACTACTCTATAACTCTCTTACATTTTGAGTATTAGTACTCACTATTGTGTCAATCTCTTTTCTTTGTCCTAACCCTTTTACATTTTTAAATTTTAAACTTTCTAAACCCTTTTAAACTTTTACCACCCTTCTTCTATTTATTACCCCTTTTAGTTTAGTGCTGATCCCTTTATAGTATAGACATGGACCCTACTATACTAACTGTCACCCTTACTGTCCTACTAGATTAGTAGTTACAAGTAGAACTAGCTTAATATGTATAGACCTCTATCTAAAAGGTCTTTACTAATTATATACTCTCAGCCCCTTCAGAACCTGTTTCAATTGTTCTGAAAGTTGTAACCTGTTCTAGAAAAAAAGTACATGTAGCTCACTCTTCAGACTTTAATAGGTAGTACTTTAAGGACTTCTAGTACTAAGTTAAACTATACATAGCTACTGTTTCAACTAATCTATCCTTAGATCTTGATTGTGTCCTATTTATCCTCTCCTTTATAAAGGAAGGTAATACAGCCACCTGGGCCTAGAACTGGATTAAAGGCTATCAGATCAGAAGCCTAATCTGACTTCAGAACAATGAGTCATACTTAGAATTTATAAGGCAGCTCTGTACTTCCTTTATTAATCTGAATGAGAAGTATAATGTGTAGAACAAACTTGTGTCTCTGTGACAGGGCAAACATTCTACTAATACTTTCTTTCAGGAGTTTAATATTCTGGCCTAGAAGACAGGATTTATACTCAGGTTTAATAATGTTCTTATTAGAATGCTTGAAAAAGCTCTTCACTTAGAACTAGTTAATAAGATTCTTAGAATGATACTAGAACTGACTACTTACACTGAGTGAAAGACACACACTATCTTCTTCAACTAAGCTACAGTTTAGATGTATTAAGTCTGTACAGAATGCTTACACATGTGTCTAGCTCTAACAGTTCTGAGCCCTTAGATCAATCTGTTTATAATTTATAATTAATCTATTCTAATAAACATTAGAGAAGCCTAAAAGTAAGGAGCATACTTTGTCTGTAGAAAGTTAGAGTACTAAATTAAGGACTGCTTACAGAAGTAACAGTATATCTGTCAGGTTATTAGAGTAATAATGAGTGACAAGTAGGATTTGTAGTAAGAAGCCTTTTCTACAAATTTAGAAGTTATCTCAGAACTCTCAGACTCTAACTATGTACTCTAGGATTTTGTAGAGGCTCAACAGTAAATGTAGTACTAAAGGGCTATAACTTGGATTTTTTAATAGTCACTTTTGATTCAATAGACACTGTAGGATTAGAAGTAAATAAAGTAAGAAAAGTAGAGAAAGTAGAAAGAGTAGAAAAAATAAATTAACAAAA